ACTCGTTGTCGCGTCTGTACTCACTAGAAAGGAAAGTTCTTTTCTTGTTTTGCTATTTTTTTGTTTTTATCTTAACTTAAATATCTCACATAATTTGTTCACAGGATATATATTACTTATGTCGTCATTTTATGCAATGTATGCGAATTTGTTACTACATTGATGACTGGCAAATTGGCGTTTACTTTCTGCTCAACACATAATTTTTTTATAATGCATCTTTTATAACATTCTTCACCTACGAAATCTATCGGTAGCTAGAGATTGCCATAAGTACTGGACGCTGGAAGCCTTTGATAACTATCATTTTCTTTTTTATTTGCTTGACGCACACAAACGATTTCGAGACGGGAACCGGCACCATTGAATGTATCATGTTAATCTTTTTGTCTAAGCCGTAATGCAATATTAATGATTGCAGGTGTGCCCTAAGATCTTCCCAATAGCAGACAGAGGTATGTTTGTCGCTTAACAGGCTGTTGCAACTAATATGTTTGTTAACGTGAATAACAACATACAACACTGAACGTAAACTGTTTACTTTAGCGGATTTCATCAGAATTAGAACATTACGCCTGTGCAGAGATTCTTGTGCTAATGGTTATGACTTAAACTACAAGAAACATCGTTAGGTGGAGAAGTTGCCCAAACTCTGGACAATAAATGCATATACCAGTCGTCACTAGTTAGAGTTGATATATCATTGTATTACATGTATATTAAGCTGGCCTTCTGCTGATCGCAAACTAATTATCCCTTTGACGTATCTAAAGTGATGAGTTTCCCCATGTACATGTACTTCAGATATGTGGCCTACTAGTCCTGCATGGCTACAATTGTGTGTCCTTGTGACACCTGTCGTATATTGCACATCGCCCCGTTGTCGCGATCACATTTGGCTGAATACTTTCATGTTTTCTGTATTTGTCAGTCGTATTGCGGCAAACGAGTTATATATTGTTTGATGTGTGTGTATGGTTCTCCGACACGTTCAGCAATATTCAAGGCATATCAAAGCGGCCTGTAAATATTTAACTCTTGGCCATACAAACCAGAATGGCAGGCTTTCGGTCAATGTCTTGACATCCCCCGCGACTGGTTGGATAACTACCCGCAAATTTGCCACCGGGTTTATCTGATCCAGACTCAAGTAAGTACATGACTCTTTCCTACTTCAAAACCATAATAGACCGCCTCCATGGTCTAGAGGTAGAGCGTCCGCCCGGATAGCGGAAGGTCCGGGGTTCGATCCCCGGACGCGTCATACCAAAAGACGTTAAAAGATGGTACTTGTTGTTACCCTGTCTGGCGCTCGTCATTAAGGGGCTAAAACAAGGACTGGTCGGCTCAGAGTCAGTATACTGTGTCTGAGTGGGGTATTCATGTTAAACAGCGGCATGGTATCTCAGTGAGCTAGCACTATAAATCGGCATCAGTCCGGACCAGTACAAGCAGCCACACACACACACTCGTGCATGAACGTCGCCATATAAGTGCAATAATCTTGGACGCGACGTTAAACCCAATTTCACCTCATCACCTCAAAACCATAATGTCTTCTTTCAATCTATACACTTCATATCTTAACCATGCTTTCATAGAATTACAAGTGATGTAACGTTCGTTATAGTTAATACTTACTTCAGTTGGTAATGATATCAGGAACAGTGCAACTCTTGTTACACTCATCATCGGAAACGATTTATGTTTGAGGCAAACACATGGATCTCTTTGTAGACATTATGCGATAGTTGATGGGTGAGTGGATGAATGGGAACAGTATTTCAGCTGTATCGTTGTGTGTAGACGGCATATCGGAGGAGAGTCCAAAGGGACGAAGATCTACCACTTTCTTGAAAACCACAGACACGGCCATGAAGCTGACAGAATTAAGACGATAAGACAGACTTTTACACAGAGACAAATAGTTTGGAGTTTTTTGCACACTTGTTGATGTTATTTGGACATGGAAGAAACGTCCATATCTTATACCTCATGGCGCGATAGTGCAACTCAGTGTATACTTTTCAACCATCCGCTTCTCTAAATCCTCATACTTCACAATCACACATCAATAACGTTATAATTGTATAAATATATATTTTAAAAGCATCTTTTGTGGTATCGTGTAAGGAAAGTGTGTTCAGTTTAGCACGTCCTTAAACAGTATTTCAGTTAAATCACGGCTTACGTGGCAGCTTGATGCAGGAGGAAATCCAAAAGAGTTGTATATCTTTGATGTGTACCACTCTGGTGAAACCCACGAACACAGACATAGGTCTGACTGAACCAAAGTAACATCAGTGAAAATCTGGGTTTCGAACCAACGATGAGTGTCAAGGTAGCGCGACTCTGCACAGCGAATTGCGGTGCCTAAGACCACTGGGCCATAAGTTACACAGAATTGTACTGTGTCACACTGAGGTATGTCTAAAGGTACGGAAATTGTATACAGTGGGCGGTGGGGGAAGCCTACTTGTTAAAGCGTTCGATGGTCACGCCAGGTTCGATTCCCCTGATTGATACAATGTGTGAAGCCCGTTTCTAGTGTCCCCCGTCGTGATATTGCTGGACTACTGCTAAAAGCAGCGTAAAACTATATTCACTCACTCTCGTACACAGTATCGCAGTAACACATTGATAACAAAATGTTGGTTTAAAAGATAGATCAACTCGAATATCTGATATACCGTTCCCGGTGACTGAAAAAACATATAATTCACTCCCTTATGACATTAACTTTCTGATAACAGAGAAGTCGGGTAGAATGGTAGGCTTTCGGTCAATGTCTTGCCATCCCCGCGACGGGTTGGATAACTACCCGCAAATTTACCACCGGGTTTATCTGATCCAGACTCAAGTAAGTACATGACTCTTTCCTACTTCAAAACCATAATAGACCGCTTCCATGGTCTAGAGGTAGAGCGTCCGCCCGGAGAGCGGAAGGTCCGGGGTTCGATTCCCGGACGCGTCATACCAAAAGACGTTAAAAGATGGCACTTGTTGTTACCCTGTCTGGCGCTCGGCATTAAGGAGCTAAAACAAGGACTGGTCGGCTCAGTGTCAGTATACTGTGTCTGAGTGGAGTATTCATGTTAAACTGCGGCATGGTATCTCAGTGAGCTAGCACTATAAATCGGCATCAGTCCGGACCAGTACAAGCAGCCACACACACACACTCGTGCATGCACGTCGCCATATAAGTGCAATAATCTTTGACCCGACGTTAAACCAAATTTCACCTCATCACCTCAAAACCATAATGTCTTCTTTCAATCTAGACACTCCATATCTTAACTAAGCTTTCATAGAATTACAAGTGATGTGACGTTCGTTATAGTTAATGCTTACTTGGTAATGATATCAGGAACAGTGCAACTCTTGTTACACTCATCAGCGGAAACGATTTATGTTTGAGGCAAACACATGGATCTCTTTGTAGACATTATGCGATAGTTGATGGGTGAGAGGGTGAATGGGAACAGTATTTCAGCTATATCGTGGTGTGTCGACGGCATATCGGAGGAGAGTCCAAAGGGACGAAGATCTACCACTTTCTTGAAAAGCACAGGCACGGCCATGAAGCTGACAGAATTAAGACGATAAGACAGACTTTTACACAGAGACAAATAGTTTGGAGTTTTTTGCACACTTGTTGATGTTATTTGGACATGGAAGAAACGTCCATATTTCATACCTTATGGCGCGACTGTCCAACTCAGTGTACACTTTTCAACCATCTGCTTCTCTAAATCCTCATACTTCACAATCACACATCAATAACGTTATAATTGTATAAATAAATATTTTAAAAGCATCTTTTGTGGTATCGTGTTAGGAAAGTGTGTTCAGTTTAGCACCTCCTTAAACAGTATTTCAGTTAAATCACGGCTTACGTGGCAGCTTGATGCAGGAGGAAATCCAAAAGTGTTGTATATCTTTGATGTGTACCACTCTGGTGAAACCCACGAACACAGACATAGGTCCTACTGAACCAAAGAAAGATCAGTGAAAATCTGGGTTTCGAACCAACGGTGAGTGTCAAGGTAGCGCGACTCTGCACAGCGAATTGCGGCGCCTAAGACCACTGGACCATAAGTTAAGGTATTTCTAAAGGTACGGAAATTGTATAACAGTGGGCGGTGGGGGAAGCCTACTTGTTAAAGCGTTCGATGGTCACATCAAAGACCCGGGTTCGATTCCCCTGATTGGTACAATGTGGGAAGCCCGTTTCTAGTGTCCCCCGTCGTGATATTGCTGGACTACTGCTAAAAGCAGCGAAAAACTATATTCACTCACTCTCGTACACAGTATCGCAGTAACACATTGATAACAAAATGTTGGTTTAAAAGATAGATCTACTCGAATATCTGATATACCGTTCCCGGTGACTGAAAAAACATATAATTCACTCCCTTATGACATTAACTTTCTGATAACAGAGAAGTCGTATGAATAGATATATAATAGATCAACTCGGTATGTGAAATATGTGACATTAGTTTTTAATCGCGTGGTCTGTTTTGTGTTGCAAAACAGCATATTTCAAGTCCGCTTGCTGCAGTTGATAATGTAATTTCCTCCAGTAAACCTGACTACAGGCGAATTTAGCAAGTATTGGAACAATTCGAGTTCATATCTTTTTAAACTTCAGAAATACTGAATATCTAGATCTATATCAAGTCTTATACTGAATTACCGTTACAAGAGATGTAAAATTACCCCCATAAACTGCTGGGCAAAACAAAGTATATACTCATGTTTGATTGTTGTCGTTTTATACGGAAATAATAGTTGTGTTTTGAACTTTAGGTTGCAGAGTTTCAGCTACTGTTTTCAGCCTAGTAACGTTTTGATAACGGTTTTAAAGTTTTGGACAAATCAAATTTTAAGTGTACACTTTTAATGCCGGAAGTTTAACAGAACCTCACTCATAGCATTAACATACATATACCTCAATGGCCTGACTAATATATCTCATATAAAAAAAAAAGAGAATATATTTTCAAAGAAGATTTATATTTGAAACCCATCTATAAAAAACGTTCAAGCAAGGGCGAACCCTATAAAAGACAATGTATATCTAGTCCACGAAATCATCACTTAAAAGCACTCCTTCCAACCGAATAGCACTTACATTACATAAAGTGCAAACAAAATGTAAATAACCACTCATTAAGACATTGTAATGAAGTACACATGATAAAGTTTGCCTGGAAACGTCTACGTATACACTTTACAAATAGCTTAACTATTGTTTAAAATCATATGATGTAACAAAACTGTAAAAAAACATAGAACAGTGGTTAGATGTAATTAACCCATAATAAAAAATACCACTGACACAACTAATAGTCAATTGTCATCACATACTCTATTGTCAATGATATACACATTTTAACTTGTCATTGTAGTGTTAAATGGAATAAAGATGAGGTCCTATGAGAGTTATTATCACTTTAGTACTATACTACTCCTGAACAACGGATATTTCTACACATGAACCCCCGGGTTCCGAGTTCATCGCATATTTGGAAATAATGTAATGCAAATTCTGCCCTTTTTAATGGAACAAAAATGTATCTGACATAGCTTTAGGCTAGTACCCAGGTCTTTTGCGACAGGAAGTTGAAAATAGAAAAGAAAGTTTCTTTCAATTATGAAACACTCTGTCATGATGAAATAACAAATTCATCCTGCATCACCCTTCCAAATTAACCTCCCATCTAGGGTTTGTATTGCGTAACATCCTCATCCGTTAAGTCGGGACACTTGAAATGGACTTTTCTCCATTTTTTAAAGCGATAGGATATTTTGCTGGAATTGTACGTCATGAAGTTGTTGATCGATATACATACAAACTTGGCCTCCTTGTACATCACACCACTGCCCCATCTAGCTTTACATCGTTTACAATAAACAGCACTAACTTTCTTCACATGATCAAATACATCCTTTCCTTCAGGTGTCTGTTCGTCAACTAACTTCCAGACATTTGGAGTTATAACAAGGCGATGGGAATTTGCAACCACTCTGATATCGCTTGACAAGAAGGCAAATACATCGCATTTATAACAATGAAGGCTATATACCTCGTCAGTGAAAGGCTGCTTTGCTTCTTTGATTCTTTCTGTTTCCCTGGACACCTTGTCCTCTTTCTGGAACATTTCAATTTGTTCACCAAATGCTACCGGATCTTCCTGAATTTGTTTCTGTAGAATATTCACTGCTTCATTCATGACCGATTCCAGACGCATGTTGCTCTGTTCCTTCTTTGCAACGTCGTCTTTGCTGGTGAGTGTGACGTATGTTCCATCTGGAACACGTGATGCTCTTCCTGTGGAGGAATAAAAGAAGTGTGTTTGGGACTTTGAATGAGCGTAGCTTTGAAAATAACTTACATATTTCCGGAAAGCAATGTTTATGTTTGTGTGCATATAAGCTTTTAATAGACGAAAGCCCAAAGTGATGAAGGCGTTCGACGTGTACCACTTTTGTGAAACCCAAAATTACTGGCATGGATCTTATCAATATTAAGGATCAACTTCATCACACCTCGCTTTGTTGTTTACACAAATATTACATAAAGTCCATGTTCAACATGCTTGGTGTAGTGTTATTATTGTACCGTTACATACGACAAAGAACAACAATGAACCTGGCTGCTACGTACACTGGGGTATTTCACTACTGAATACAATACGAAAAATATTTACTTCTATGCAAACAATGTAGAATTCTGATATTATTGAGGAAAACCAGGGTGCGCGTATTTTAGGGAACAAAAGTCTTTAACAGATACTTAATCTCATCAATTAGAAGCTATTATTCAAAAACACATCATTCGTAGGCAGTGATCGAAATAAGTGCCTGCCCATTGGCACGTGACAGGTAGATCTCTCGTGTCGAGCCCGTAGTTTTAAATTTATATGGGTACTTATGTCCTGCACTAAATTTACATGTCGATTTATTTGTCTCAATAAGCTGTATGTTTAGGAGTATGAGCATGTCCTGCAGCTTCTAAAGTATGCGGGTCTTGATGGGCGCCAAACCTTTTTATATTTCAAACACTGGTCGGAGTGAATTTTTACTGCGCTTTCTTAGATTTTAAGAGAGTATGTGACATGATTAACATGTTGTGTTGTCCCCTTTTGGATAGATATACTCTTAAAAAAACAATAACTTGACATAGTCTTTCAAAATTTAAGATAAAAACTATGTTTGAAAATAGGACACAGAAACCATAATTGAAAAACCGTTTGAGGATCAATGTACACACTGTTCAAAACATTATTCGTGTCGCACAGACAGACGTACGTACACAATAGAGTTTATGTCACAGGGGTACAGGAAATGTCAGTTTCGGTAGTGACCACCACGGGCATCAATTACCGCTTGACACCGACGACCCATAGATGCAATCAAGTTGTGAATAACATGCTGTGGAATGTGCTGTCATTCATGCTGAAGTGCCACAAGAAGCGTCGGAAGTGTTTGGGGTGGTGGACTCCTTCTGTGCACGCGTCGATCCAACTCGTCTCATAGATGCTCAATCAGAGACAAATCTGGTGACCGCGCTGGCCAAGGTAATGTCTGGATGTTGTTGTGTTGTAAAAACACGTTCAATAAGCGGTCAAGCATTTTCTTGCCCACCGTGGACGTTGAAGTGAGGCAGAACGTAAGGCTGTAGGATCAATGCTCTGTAACGCACGCCTGTCAATGTACCTGTCACATGCACGAGAGGGGTCCTACCACCGTGATGAATTCCGGATCATACCATGACACTCCCGCCGCCAAATGGGACAACCCGCTGCACACAGTTGCGGGCGTAACGTTCACCCCGACGTCTGTAGACACGTGTGCGCCCATAAGCACGTGTGAGTAGAAAACGGGACTCATCCCGCACATTTCTCCATCTTGCACGTGCCCATCTCACCCTCTGTTGACACCGATGCAGACCGTCTGCCAGATGACGTGGGGCCAATACATGACGTCGAACAGGTCTTCATGCAAAGAGTCCGGCCTCCCTCAATCTGTTGTGTACTGTTTGATCTGAAATTCTGCAAAGCCCAGGGATCTGTGTGGTTGTAGACGTTGCTGTGGTTGTGTGTTCTCATTGGTGTTCTCATTCGCAGCCGGATGTATCGATCTTGTGCTGGCATTGTCACCCTTGGTCACCGTAACCAACTATGTAGGTGTTGTTGCACCGGGTCCATAATTCGGAGATTGCCCGTCGGGATACGCCAAGGTGCCTGGCCACATCTTGCTAAGTTGCTCCAGCTTGTAATCTGGCAATGGCGTTGTGACGTTGAGCTGTTATCAGTCTTGGCATTCTGTCACCGCGTTTACTGTCGTTATGAAGTCTGTATGAATGCCCGTTGATGTGTTTTTTTATACCCCATGCATAAACGAAGGATCCTGTGCTGCACGTTTTTTTCAGCCGGTTGCGTTTGGATAAATTTGTATAATTGATCCCCAAACGCTACGTTTATGTGGTTTCTATGTGTTTCCGTGAATTATGGAACCATCATCCTTCTGTTTGACTAATTGTAATCACATTTCATTTATTGATTTAGGATATTTTGAGAAAAGATGTTTTACGTCTGTGTCAAGTTTCTGTTTTTTTAAGAGAATACCTTGGATTCAAGATACCACGTATAACTTATATGGAAAACAAAGCTTTGCAGTGATGGCTGAACAAGCCATGAACACACTCTTCCCGATATAACCACTTGTTAGAACATATGATATAGCGGATGAGATGCTTTTAAGATAGTAGTTCTTTTGAGAGATAAGACAAGTTTGCAGGAGCTATTGTCTATATCTGTGAAATCTTGAAATCTCCATATATCAGCACCGAAAGTCATAACAGGTAAAACCTTTGCATACAATATGTGAAAACAAATATCATCTGGGAGAGTAGGTAATTTACCCAAAGATTGCTGTAACATCTGAACTATATTCAATGCGTGATATGCTAAAAGTCTGTGAGTTAAAAGCCACGATCCCGATGAAGATAATTGAACACCCAAAGGTGTAAGGTTTAAGTTCTCTACTTCAAACTGTTCATAATTTCATGGTTTACCGCCATTTCGGCAAATTGTTACTTTACTTCTTTAAGTATCAATTGTTATCTTCCATTTATCACAAGATGCTTGAATGTATTTAGGCAGTTTTGGAACACAACATGAATTATATCCATGAGACAATGTCATCAGCAAATAATTGAATGAAGATTTCCCCAAATCCCAGGGTTACGCCTTGCGGGCCATCATACTCTAAAACGTCTAGGACATCAATTCTATAAATACAAAACAAAAATTATTGGCATCCCCATGTTACCCCAGAGTGACATACGTGAGAAATGTCATCTGGTAGTGAGGTCAGTCTAAATCCTCTGCCTTCACACATACACACACACACACATACACACGCACGCACGCGCACACACACACACACACACACACACACACACACACACACACACACACACACACATATATATCAATCCAAAGTTTAAATAACACCCCATTTCGATGAACAGAATCGACCGCAGCTTTTCAGCCAAAAACGCAGTAAGCATTCTACCTCTCTTCAGGGACAGGCATTCATTTAAAATAGAATCAATACTGAAAATGTTATCAACAGTCTGAAATCCCTTTCGAAAACCGCATGTTCTCAATCAATAACGTTTTCTTGATTGAACCATAAAATTAGTCTTTTGCAAATGATCGTTGCAAGTATCTTACCCACAACATCCACAAATGTAATTGGTCCGTAATTGAAGGCATATCAGTCTTACCTTTCTTAAACACGGGAAGAATTAGCACAATAGGGCCATTGGTAGGGGTAAATATATGTCGGCAGTATTGTGTTATATCATTTTAGTAACATCCCAATGCAAACAGGAGGAGCATATTTAAAGAATTCAATTGGTATTCCATCAGCCCCGGATGCCTTTGAAAATTCCATACATTCAATTGCTTAATCGATTTCATATAAAACAATGTCCTTGTCTAACACACTTTCAACGGTGTGTGCTGTTAACTGTTCACTAAGCGAGACAACAAAGTCATCAACGAAGGAAAACAATTCGGCAAATTCAATACATTCACTACTTGAAATAAGTTTTCAAAATGATTCATCCAATCTTGAACATGTATATGTGAATGTGCTTTTAAAAATTACACAATTACCAGAATAAAAACTACATCGTTTTAAGTTAAATAATACTACAATTCTGCACCAAATTTTACTTTCTGACTCCGACTCATGATCAAGTAAAGCAAATGTGACTATCAACCAGAATAATGTGGGAGGAAAGCCCGAAGTGATGCAGGTCGCAGACGTTTACCACTTCGGTGAAACCCACGAGCACGGGTATGGTGCTGACAAACCTAGAAACATAATCGGGGCGAACCGGGATTCGAACCCACAATCATAGGTTTCTGGCGTGCCCAAGGGACGCAACTCTGCACAGCGAATCGCGGCGCCTTAGACGACTGGGCCACCCGTGCCCCCTCTTGATCTAAGAAAGAAACATTGTTATGATATGTACAGAAAACGGAACTTACCTCTTGCCTGTATCATTCCTATCTCGTTTGACACATACTCGTATCTGATGACCCTGCTACACTTTGCAACATCCATCCCCTCCTCTGCCACTGATGTAGCTACTGCAATACGACTCGTGCCCCACTTGAAATTCCTCACAGCCTCCAACTGCTGATTGCGTGTCATGCCTGGGAACAAAACGATTTATATTCGTATACAATACAGATACACAAACATACACTCTTTTAATTTACAAAGCACTTCATCTGATCAACGAATTTACTTGTTATACCTCCTTGGTCCGTTGTGGCTCCACATCCAGTGACAACAACGGGAGACAACTTTCTCATTCCAGGATCTTCCAACATCCATTGCACTAGTGCTCGTGCTAGGTCACGCGTTTTCACAAGGACAAGGATTCTAGAGTCCTTCTTCTTCTTGATCTGATCCACCATGAGGGATCTAAGCACTATCAGCTTAGGGTTCACGTTACTATCAGGTGCAGATTCGGCTTTTAGCTTCTCACGGTTATCTGCACACAGATTTAATGTTATGGTAAAGTTAATGGAGCAAGGTCCGGTAAAAGTAAAGCGTACATGTATGTTTCACAAAGCGATCTTAACGCTACGACTGTAAGACCGAGTCTTCAACATGTCATTACATTAGAAGTTCAACTTTGATCGGTGTCTGATACATGGGAACGTCGCTTTGAACAATATTTCAGATACACCACGGCGTATCAGCCCGGCGTGGTGCAGGTCTTTGATGTAAAATATTTAACACATACGTATACACAAGAATGGGGCATCTGGGTTGTGGAAGTCAATCACAATTCTATTGTCTTTTAAGAATATATGTTTATTTAAACAAGCCAGAAGTGTCCATATCATTTTATTGTTCTCAACACGCATGTAGTTACCAGTATACAGCGAGAAGAGCCAATCGTCAGTGGATGTTCTAAACTGCCTCGCAGGATATATGGTGCTCATTTGAGTCACAACATAGTTAATGGCATCGTGTGCACGGCAATCCACGTTGAGGGTCAGTGCTTTGTTATAGACCTGCGAACATTTAGTCATTTATTCGAGTACCAACAAACAGCTGGTTATGCCATTTTTTTCATGTCTTTACAGGTATATTATGAAAAAAAGGTGTAAATGAACATAAACAATGTACAAAAAAAAAAAAATAGGCTTCTCATCAGTTTACGTATGGTTGCAAAAATGTCCAATAACATGCTTACATGACATTTGTACTTACACTGAGGTGTTTTACACACGTCAAGAAGAACCTTCTAAGCGTCGGATCCTTTATCCTGAGGAACTTGTCACTGTACAGCTTGCCGAGCCACTGTGTGTACCAGCATGTTCCCTTCGCCAGGCACGGGATTACCTCCTTGGCTATGTTCTTGATGTGATTCAGTTTATCAGTCGCTAATGCAACAGAAAAGTGCGTGACGTTAATGTAACAAAGATTTGATTCTACAACATGGTTTTAGACGGGGGGCACACTCGCCTTTACACATTGTAAAGTGGGAGTGTAATCCGAGCCAATGCTTTCAAAAGTACTCCACCATCCACGGCTTGGATCAAGAAGCACGGGAGACATTATTTCTTGACAATAATCCATGATACCCCCTTTGAAAAAACGATTATAATGACATTCAAAAATTGTTATTTGGAAACTTCCTTGAACTTTGTGTTATAATCGTTACCAAACACAGTAGAGCAAGTTACAAGTGGTATATGGAGTAGTTCGATCATTCAATGTCATTTGCTGCCAAGAAACACGATTGTGCCCTCATTGAGCAATGGGTGTGATAGAAATAAGAATGTTTATACAGGCTTACATTTGCCGTGTTCTTCTATAATTCTTTCCTCAATGGGTCCCATGATTTTCGCAACTATGCAGTCTTTAAATTGGTCAGATGTCCTTTCCTTTGCCATTTCAATCGCTGAAAGAGAAAGAATAATAAATCGACAATATGAAAGGTGGTATGAGAGTGAGTGAGTGAGTGGTTTTACGCCGCTTTTAGCACTATTCCAGCAATATCCCGGCGGGTGACACCAGAAATGGGCTTCACACATCGTACCCATGTTGGGAATCGAACCCGGGTCTTCGGCGTGACGAGCGAATGCTTTAACCACTAGGCAAGCCGACCGCCCCTGGGTGGTATGAGAACTTGACACATGAACATTAGGTATTCAACTTTACCATTAATATCTACCAAAATATATGAAAACCACCTTATCGGTTGGATTCCGGATTCTGAAACATCTATTTCAACTGCGTTCATCCTTGACTAACCTCATCCGTTGTTCGTAATATTCAATATGTCACTTGAAAGGGTCATACCACTCTCCACATGATTCGCATACTCTGCAAGACTGTCTTTATGTTCTCGAACAGTAACGATCCCTCCCTTGGCATCCATGTTTGCACACAGATGTATGATGTGTGCCAGAGCTCCTTTAGCTCCATCACCCTCCTTCATCTTCCCCACCCCGACCGATGCTGTGAGGCCCACGACCTGCAGGAATAAGGAGAGCTTTCTTTTGGACCAAATATCACTTATGCCTTAGGAAACGTTCATGTCGACGGAGGACAGATGCTGTCCAGGGTGCCGTTGCAAACAGTGATCTTAGCATACCTTAACATAGACAGTCTATGGTTGTTTTGTGCAACGGCACCGATCTCAGCAGCTGGGATAACTGCTTTCAGCATCATGTTTTTTCCAATTTCCAATTTGTTGAATCTAAAACGCGACTAACATTTCATCCATACATTTCCGAAAAGTGTCAGTCGACACTTTATTCTCGTTGTGTCATGATGCACAAATGATTTATTCGATAGCACGGGGATTCCCACCGGATGTCATCAACTTGATATTGTATTTTCAACAGATTGGACATAAGTGCGTTGCTTCAACACTGCCTTGAACAGCTTGATGTGGGAGGAAAGCCAAAAGTGATGCTGGTTTTACCACTAACGTAGAAACATATTGTGGGAATCAGAATTCGAATCCACGATCATAGGTTAACTGCAAGCCTAAGGGAGGCAAATTTGCACAGCCAAAATACGGCGTCTTAATTAAGTGACAAAAATTATTAATACTGCTACTTCAATATTCCAGATATGGCACTGCGGGGGCCACTAACGAAACTCACTGAACCCATGTGGGGAATCGAACCCAAACACTCATACAATCTAAAAATATTATTAATAAGATGAATTACCTGTGGTAGCTTCATATTTGTGTCAGAGGACTGTTTCATTCCCATGTAATGAATCATTATTTTGTTTGTTGGGTGTTTCTCACGGATGTGATGACACTCGTCGAAGATGATGAGGCTGAAGACACAGAGAGATTCCAGGGTCTTGTTCTCCAGGGCATCAACGATGATCTGCGGCGTCATAACAAGCAGGTCACTTCTACAAAGAAGATACAAGGTGAATAGTTTCTGGCGAGGGTATTTCGACATTATTATTATCACGTGAGACGAATAGTATATGTTACCTACATGTATATTCTGGGAAAATGTAGAAATATGAACGCTTTCCGACTATTAAGGATGACATAAGCTCAATCTATTGTGGTAACGACGTCCCAGGCAACAGTCTATGATCTAATCTTAGATTAACCAAGAGCGTTATCTCCTAAACTTGACGATCAAACCACTGTACTGATACACGTCCGTTAGAGACGGTTAAGCAGCGCAAGTTTTATATGAGCTCAATCATCCGCATCTTTGTCAATCAAACTACTAAATATAACTAAAACTTTACATTCACTTCCAATGGTTTTAGAACTCCATCGACCTTAAAAGCTTTATTTAGATAGCACATTCCGCGGCATCTATCTAAGATGTAAGTAAACCACATCTATATTAAGAGCTCGATCTATCAGTGGTATATAAACTATTTTTAGAACTCTACTTCATATATACCAAGAGATCAATCCAAAATATTTCTCAAAATCTCAATTCCAGATCTGAATAGCGTCACTAAAACTACACAATATATTAGTTGAAATCGTAGGTAACCACGTGTACTTGTGATATATTTACTTATGTCACTTATTATGAGAACTGATAAGGAGCTGACAAGGGATCATATTCAGAATGAATCTGGGCTTCGAACCCATCACATCAAAGACCAATGAGAGATACCTACTGCGCTAACAGCTCCTTGGTGGTGACCGCACTCGTGTATTTTGTTTCCCCAACAATCTTCGTAGTTTTGTACTTGGAATCAAGATGACCTTGGCATAACTCATGCTGCTGGTCTACTAAGGTCACCTCATTGGCGAAAAATGCAATTTTGCTGGGCAACCCTTTTCCTTTCATTTTAGTTAGATGTTCCTGCAATAACGCAGAGCATATGAGAGAATAAAACATGGGATACACAATACTCCGGTTCCACATAGGAAGGAACATAAAGAAAAGACAAGAAATGTCTTCAGGGATATTTGAATTTCAAATAAATTTGCACGTCCTTGTACATATGCAAAATATATGACAATGAACAACCATGAAACTGAATATGTATGTTTTAAGCCTTTCTTCAACAGAACGGTGTCTATATTATTCACAAAACGAAAGCAACCCATCAAACCTTCCGTATATTGTTTGAACCCTCATGATGTCTATCATCATAAATATGCTCTCTCGGTTTAGTACCAACCTTTAGAGATTGAGATAAATATTTCAAATGCAGCCCACCTCTAAAACAGAGGGTCTCGTGCCCCTTGGTACCTTGATACCCCACCCGGGGGATAATGGATGTCAAGTTTCATCAGTAAAACAAATAATTCATATATCAAGGTATGTAAAATGAGATATCATTATGAGGGAAATTATGTAGGCATTTTACACAGACACCCTACCTGCATTATTCTCAAGGCCACCACCGTCTTGCCGCAGCCAGTGGGTGCTACGATGATAACGCTGTCCCCGCCGGCAGCTGCCCTCACCAACTCATCCTGGTAGGGTCTGTTCTCAAGGCTCTGAATCTTGTCGCGTGCAGCCAACATTTCGGGAGTCATACTTAATTCATCTATATCGAACTCCAAAAGTGTATTGTCTTCGCAGCTTGAACCAGTCCCTGTGCTCACGTCGTCACGGATATCATGCCGATCTGGCTGAGCTACAATACACAGTGAATAGTGAATGTTGTTTTGCTTTATCGCCGCTTTGTACGGTCATGTGAATGCACGCCAGCTTAATGTGTGAGTGGATTTTGCAACAGGGGGCGAGTCTACTGCAGGTCATTGCATGGGTATGATGCTGACAAACCAAGAATCCTGAAATCTGGGATTCGAACCCACGATTATACGATACGTGCATGTCTAAAGAACTGCTGATAAAGGGTTCCTATCCTGAATAAGTACATGCATCCCATGCGACCATGGGTCTATAGTTACTGTATAATAATTTTAGAACATTGGTATATATTATTTTGAGATACTTAATAGCAGATTCAATATCAACCACTAAACTTGAGTTATATAATATCCAACAGTGTCAGTTTCTTTGAAAATATAAAATGTCACACATTCGAAATTTTATGTGAAAGATGTTCAATAAATACATTGGGAATTCTTCTTTTAAACAACCATATACTGCATGTAGTTCACATCATGACGTTGTGTACAATTTCAGTTTTCATAAGATAGTTACTTTCAATTAAAATGATATGACGCACTTTTCATTGAAGACTCCCTCCACTTGTTGACGCTCTCGGGATCACTGTAAGCACTTTTCAACCTGTCATATACGTTAATGTTCATATTCCCGCCTGATCCAGGGATGCTGAGGTTATTTTCTGGGGCCGGGTCATTAACGCCACTGTCACTATATCCATCGCCAGAAGCTGTTGTGAGGTAGGGAAATAGCACATCACATATCTATTCTGACTTTGAATGCATTGTAAACATTTTAAGTCTGCCAACTCATTATACATGATGTATAATGGTCTAACAATTAATAAGTAACCGAATTACAAAATAAGTTTCGCACATGGGCTATGTAGCCGACGTCTATGCTGGAAATGAGTGACAGATCATGGAGTATGGTCTCTCTTTAAGTGCGACCATATGAGAGGGGGTCTGTTATACATTGTAGAGTCGAAAGTGTGCTCGTACACTGATTCCTACATGGCGCCGTAGTCGGTACTGATTGGTCAAAACTGTGCACATTAATTTGATATATATGTGATATATTCAGGGGCTACATGTAACCATTTACCAGTGACTACATTCATTCTAACTGTGCCATCAACTTCGTCTACAGACATATCGCCGCTGTAGACCTCATTTTGACTTTCTGTAACAAAACATAAGAAAATGAATACCTCGAGGCATTGACATTTTGGATAAAAACATATTATATCTTTACATCTTAATAAAATACCTTTAATTTCATTTGGAGCACAAGCGTAAAATGGCCGAATTATAATTAAACTCTCATAGTTTCCACATTTTCTGTCTATAAATCGTTTAAACATGATTGTGATTTTTTTACTGATTCATTGCATATATACATAACATCTGCCAAAGTTATCTCTGATCTGTATGACCACAGGGGTCATAAAATGAATTTGTCCAGGGGAACAATGGAATGGTTCAACTTTATCCGACACAAGCTGCTTTTCTAAGTATTTTAGAACGTGTATGAAAAAAAGTAAATAAATAAAAAAATCATTTTTAAAATATGACTGAATTCGAAAAATATGAAAAGTTAATAGGATATTTACATAATTTCTTCAAATCCAAACACTCCTTAAAGTTTACGAGCTCAAAACAAAACCGTAGATTAAGGGCCTAATACGACTTGAACGTACTGAACATACTACTTTTCATGATCATGAGCTAACCGTTCCATAATACAATGAAAACCATGTGTATCTACGACACTGCGGGGTAATGTACTAGCATTCACACTGTTTATGAGTTTATCAGAGTAACGAAACTACAAATCATAAAAAACAAGACCGACTGGTGCACTGACGAGAATCATTATCAATCAACAGGAACACACTTTTCCACCAAGGTTCCTGCCTATTTCAAAAATAATAAAGTCCCTAATGAATAATAATCACAGCTCAACTATCGAATGCCAAATATGAAGTCAGGGCGTTAAGAACTGGGAATCAGAAAATGATTGTTGATATACGTGAATTAAATAGCTAATTTTGCAAACGTTGTCAGAGGTTAGCATGTAACTGTATCTGCTTTTCCATTTGAGCTGCAAACTCGGTCAGGCTACCTTCAGTTGAGTCTCCATGGATCCAGTCAAACAGCTCCTGGTACCCGTGGTCCTCTAGCAGCTGGAGGAACAGCTTGAACCAGTTCTCCTTCCGGCGAGGCAGAACCACCAGGACCAGCCACCTGGCAGCAGGGATCTTCCCAGTGTTTTTAGCCAAGCTTTGGAGCAATTGACTGTCTTCGTCGTCTACATAATAGATGATGATAATCTACAGCATCTGTGTTCTGGTTACTGGCTACAGTTATACATCAACCACTAATTGAACGTTTTCACTGATTCGCTGCTTTCACAAGCTAAAGCATCCTTTACACATGATATTACCGAAACATCATTCACACACGGCACACATATAACTGGGATATCAAAATTATGTCCGATTCTCGTTCTGATCCATTCACCAATGGGATTGAAACCAAGGCCGTTTGAGTGACAAATGGAAGCTTTATCCCATAGGAAGAAGAAGGTCGAAGGTCGTACAGAATCTTCAACATTCAGTGAAATGTGAATAAAAACGCCAATGCCTAATGTGGTCGAAATCGAATACATCTTATATGCAGTGAAACATTGACAGGTGGCTTAGAAAGATTTTTGTAGATTCCATTTGTTGATTATGGATTTCCTCTGTTTTGCCCAGCTCATATTACAGATTAAATTAAACGTAGCCATAGGGTTTTATAAAAGATGTTCACAGTTCCTCTGCTTTCGAAATATCAGTAAATATGAAAATGGTAATACGTCAAGGAACTTCCCAGTAAAACATTACATTCAACTCGGAACACATAAACCCATTCGATGTCACTTAATATAAAACGTCAACGCCAGCGAATAATTAATCTGGATTATCTGCCCGTTCCATTGGCAAAACATTTGTGAAAATTACAAATACAAGACGGCAAGCATACCCCGTCCCACAGGCAGCATTTATTACTCACACAATTTGCATGGAAAAGTCAGTGAATACCTACCCAACCAATCATCCTCCAAGAGTTTTGGAAACATTACGTTGAAATCTATCTCTTTACTGATGTCCTCGGAGAAGAACTGGATAAGTCTAAGCTGCTCCTTGTGAGTTTCTCCATCAAGAGTACTCTCTCCTCTAAGCACTTTGGCTATGGAGTCATACTCTAAACACATATACATTTCTTATTTAATTACTTATCAAATACTACCACATCTTGACGGGGAACTTCGCCAAAGGGATTCTAACCTAGGGTGATCGAGTGACAAGCAGACGCTCCCATAGGTATCATGTGTTTTAAAGCGTCTGCTAGTCACTCGATCGCCCTGGGCGTTCATCTTTAACATTCAGTGTGAAATGATAAACAACAACAGTGACTGACGTGTACCTGTTCATATACCTCGTAGGGCCCGACCAGAATGGTCGGTCCCTCACATGCGATTGAACCATTACTGAAAATAAAAATTACTCAGCCCTTAAATTTGTATTTTTTAAATAAATGGATCTTAGGATGGAACAGAGTAAATAAATGAACTTTACAAAATCTACAACCTTTACTCACGAAACGAATAGATTTAAAGGAATGTTACATCATGTACCATAAGGAATTCAAATGATTAGAATATCTAGAGGTTACCTATCGTATCGCGATATACCTATTCTGGAATGGATTTACGACGGATATCATGAATATTGCCCACCAGATGCGATACGAAACGCGTCATGATTGGTCCGATATAACACAGCGTACACATGTATACCAATATTCATGGTCGTCGATTCGATACGCAACACGATATATCCAGATAAGTTGAGATACGATACTTATCGCAGTACACGGCGATACGTTACACGGTGGAATTGATCGTTTCTAAAAACAACGTAGTCCAGGTGTCTGACGCCCCCGTAACTTGTTTCGGAAAGTTGAACAGCTTAACCTCGGTCATTTCTTCAGCAATGCCCATTGATATTATAGTGAGTGAATTGTGTTTACAGTATTTCATTTACATCACAGCAAGTTGTAATGGTGTCTGAGAAACGCCTGAGGCGGTGCAGTCCAAGTAATCACCACGTTTCACACAGGTGGACCGGGCCCCTAAACAAACTGAGGGGCATAATCAGAGCGATACGATACGAAGCTGAGATTGGAACCGACGAAAATAACATCCATGGGAGGGAAACTGCACAGCAATTTGCCGTGATGACTGAACCACAGGTGCCCACTAATATTATTTAAGTAATAAACGACGAGTGGGAGTTGTTTATCGTATGATAAAAACAACGACCATTAGCCGTTTACTAGTATTTCTTATATGATAAATCAACATTATGTACGTCCTCTTTAAGTTGGATGATAAAATGTAAAGCTTTAAGAATGTTTACCTCTTTTATAATTATGATAACTCCTCCATAGAATTCGACCTCGGCAATGTCGGACAAGTCCATTTTATGGACAGGTGGATATTTCCCGCATATTCTCACAATCCTCACGTCGATTACCTGTAACGTGTCTCCAAATACCAATTGTCATATCTCTCCCGCTTTTGGATGCGATCGTTCGACCTTCGCGTTTATCTGCGTTGCCCAGCTACATCTATGCAGAACAACTCACCAGACACTCCTCTCTCAACAATAACGTAGTCCAATATACGACGTCATTAAGTTGCAAGCGCATGTTCGAATCTCCAGAAACACGTCATGATAGAACAGTGTTGTTTCGTGAAATAAACCACAATTCGTTCTTCATTGTCCTTTGCGATTCATCGCAAAGCTATCTTATATTAGGTGGTGTTTCCTTGCTAATGCAATAAAACGTTGGATTTGAAACATGGAAACATACAACTTTAAGCTTACCATTTTCCTCCAGCAGCTGGACGAAGAGAAGATAGTCCTTTGGTTCTTTGCCATCTTTGAGGTAGTCCAGAAAGAGTTCTGTGGCTTTCATTTGTTGATGGTGGTTTTCTTTGGATAAAATCGCTCTGATGTTCTCTGTCTTGTCTGGCGCATATAACAGATTAAATTAAAAGTAGCCATGGGGTTTTATACATGTTCTTCGTCGTTTAAATCCAAAAATGTTGAAAATTATAATATGTCGAGGAATTCGAACTTTCAAGAAAAACATCAGATTCAACCAGAAACAGACACTTCTTCGGTCGTAACAGAAAAAACAGCGAAGACACCAGGTGTTCGCGAAAAGGTGTCAGTATGCCCGGGGGGACTTGCAGCAACCACTACATTTACATAAACACGTAAGTGTTTTTTGTTGTCAAACGCAGCACAGCAGTACGTACTCCTGCCATACGACGGGGGCACGTAAACGGATTCGCGTTTATCTTGCCATTGACGACCGCTATACGTCCTATTTCAAAGTTTTGAGCCTAGAATCAAATTATGTTTGTTAAAAATATTACACATCACTGTCACGTGCTTGAATATATACATGTACAGATTTTGAATTAACATTAGAAACTTCTAAATTGAATATTATAGATATTCTGTTGGTATTTTATACCATATGCTATTATGTGTTGGCGTTGTTTTGTTCCGTGGACGATCGTTTTCAATAAGGGTATTTGTAATATATTGGCATCATTTAATTGTTTCAACTTGCTGTTTACATTTGTGAGTCTAGCTGCTTCATGACTAAATTAGGAGATGATTTGGAACCGAACGCGTAGCGCTTTTTTCAAATGTAGAATATTGTCCCGTTCAATAAACAGGTAACACAGCTCTACATTTCAAAACGCAGTACATTTCTTTCCGTCCTACTGATAAGACAAAATTACACGCAAACTCTTTAGTGTTATGGAAGATATTGAGTGAAGCGGCATGGGTCTTTGGTTGTCTATTTCAATGCAGGAAACACCGTTAGTAGCACAGTATAAGTGCATGATATGCTTTTTTCAAATCAATGTGCTTCAGTCGCCCATAAACTTCGTAAGCCAGCATGAAGTGGGCATCCCTAAAGAAGAGCAAGCAAAACTTGTAATATTTTGTTCGACACTGCACGTATATTTTAAATTGTCAATGTGACGCATAAGATATGACGTCATCTGTAGAAAAGCGCCAAATTTAAAACTTGATGTCCTCAAAACTTTATATTTATCGTGTTTTCTTCACAAAATGTATCGCCATACATACTTTGTATATTGTAGCTACTCCAGATGTGCACAGTATTGCCTATAATTGTAAATATAATTGTTTACAAACGCCTACCGACAATGACTGAGCAAGGAGAACTGCGGTGATGTTGTCATCAAATCGGCTGTTTCAATCAGATCGTTATTGTCATTTAATACCTCTGATTGACCACTAAGAATCGAGTATTTCCCAAATTCGTGGTAGAATCAGAAATGAGATCTTCATTATCTTTTAGTGGGAAGTTCCTTATTTGTTTCAATCTGAAAATGACGAGCTTGTATCTATGGATTCAAGGTGAACGTTTCAAATTCTGATGCATGCTATTCTGCAAGTAGATGTGTCGTTCTGCCTTCATATGAAAAGTGGAAAGGCAACATTGCACTTGGTAACAGAATAGTACTATCTACAGTTATTTTTAATGTGCTATTGCCACTAACACAACGACGTCGTGTTAACAGGAAGGGCACGTTCACAATAATCACGTTGATGGTTTGACACGAACCGAAAGACACTCACTCACTCACTCACTCACTCACTCACTCACTCACACACACACACACACAAACAAACAAACAAACACTAAGACTGATAAATAGTTCAACACTTCTATGTACGTCGGCAGTCTTTAAATACTTAATTTCAGTGAAACGAAACCGAAAGTAGGATTGTATTTCGCCGCGGCGTTAACATAACTCAATGTCCTCATGTCAGTTTCAAATTACATTATTAAGATAAAAACAACAAGAAAAAAGAAACACTTACTCTGAGGGAAACACATGTGTGCAATGAAAGATCCACATCGAACCTGCCGAATGATGGCATCACGATAAACATTCTCTACCATGAACTTGATGTCGACAGCACTGTTGCCATGCAACGGATCCACGCTTCCTTCCGCCATTCCACAACAGAATCACCCCCTAATCTTCTGACAACATGATCAGTATAGGACCCTCCATTACGGATACAAGCACTCCTGTAGCTGTCATGGGTATCTGTGGCCGTCTTCTCTCAATATAGGTCCACGTCAACTGCCTGCCCAGGTTGAGGTCTAATTATAGCATTGTGGGAATTCCGTTATACTGTCGCGTGATTGGACAATTACACTGTGGGCCCGCTCGGCTGACACGCCCCAGGCAAGAGTGATATCTACAATGAACTACTGTGAAATTTAGCATCATTTGAAGAATGCTGAAGATAGCAGTTACTCGAACAAAATCGGTATCGCCTAAACGCCTGGTAGATTTCCAAGAATCTTAAAATACACCATGGTCATTAAATAGGGTTACGATGAAGGTACATTGTTCGGTAGCGGTTTGATATTGTCGGGACCGTGGCGGTCATTAATTTCTCCATGTTTTGTTCATAGCCCATCACTGCACAGAAGATTTTTTAAAAATAAAGTTCAACCCCATCAGTGTTATATCAGGGTTCCCTGTTCAGAGATTACCACATGATTGTCCGGATCCTCATCCGTAACTATGGCAACAGTGGCGGAAGGTATGTGGTTGCAATCCGTCGAGTGTATGGTACAACATGTATACATGCACAGACTTGATAGTAACTGAAAAATTCTGCGTTGCGGTTCTATCATTAGGGTATGGGAGTACCAAATGATAGGTAAACAATATTCCAAGTAACATTATGCATTATGTAATGACAATATTTCTATTAAGACAATATTTTCACGAGTGCAACGTATTTTCAAATTGTGTTTGACTATCATTGATATAACACATGACAGATATTGATTTTCACTTTCGCTTTCAAGATGTTCAAGATGGCTGCGTTTATGCGACACGCTCATGTTTCTAAAACGTTTTCTGTGAAAAACCCAACTGTTAGTGTTGGAAAACGGAAAAAAATCGTTACTTACGGAAATTAGCCCGGTTATACTGAAATGGGTTTAGGTGTCACGATATTGGGTGGAAAGTTTGGTATTTGCTGCATGTATCTTCGTTTGTTTTTATGTATCTATATTTTATTAGCTATAACAAATTAAGTAGTTTTAGTGATTACACAATTTTGTTTCATAATTTATTCACCACTCCAAAAACCGATTCCCCCTTCACAAGATATTGCTCCACAATGTGTACTATTTACCAAAGTTAACTGTCTCATGGCCTAATTTTTGTGAAACCTAAGGATACAGTATGACTGTATTGTAAAGGTATAGACTTTATACAGACAAGGGCAGATTTAGGAGAGAGGGCCAAGTTGCCTTACATACATCTGGGAAGGAGCGGTGTGTCGGTCCCACTTTGGTAATCGGCGTGCTTGGATTTAGAAGACATTGCACCAAAGAAAATATGTTATTCACTGGATATCCAGTATTGATTGTTTATTTTTAACGCGGCACTCATCGATATTCCAGCTGTATGACGGCGGTCTATAAATAATCGAATCACGACCCGACGATCCAGTGATTGACATCATGAGCATCGATCTACGCAATTGGGATAAGATGACATGCATTAACCAAGTCAGCGAGCTTTACCACCCGATCCCGTTAGTCGCCTCTTACGACAATTAGTGACCCCTCTTACGGCAAGCATGTTTTCTGAAGACCTATTCTACCTCGGACCTTCACGGGTCGGATGTCCAGTATTGTGGGTTCATACTTCATGAACATACTGTAGAAATGTATGTGTGCAAACAAATGAAACAGTAACATTAATACAAATATCCTGTGTCTCACAAAACTCCAATCTCCTATCCCTCTTCACATGTCATAAGTGTAAATGTCATATACGTGATACGGACAAAACATACATGTGTTTCCGCTAACTCGTCTGTCCCATCGATCAATTTATTACTCTGTTAAATCATTCATATCTATAACTACACGTAGGTGTTAATGAAATTTGAAATTTTTCGCGTATTATTTTTTCAGTCCACTTTATTTGAAACGGATAAGCTACCCGAAACACGCCACAGCCCACGGCCACACTACGAGTGAGTGAGTCAGTTGGGTTTAACGCCGCTTTTAACAATATTCCAGTTATATCGCGGTGTGTCAGCTTAATGTGGGAGGAAAGCCCGAAGTGATGCAGGTCTCAGACGTTTACCACTTCGGTGAAACCCACAAGCACGGGTATGGAGCTGACAAACCTAGAAACATAGTCGGGGCGAACCGGGATTCGAACCCACAATCATAGGTTTCTGGCGTGCCCAAGGGACGCAACTCTGCACAGCGAATCGCGGCGCCTTAGACGACTGGGCCACCCGTGCCCCCGTCACACTACGAAGTGATACTAGATGAATGCTGACGTGCTTAACACCTTGTGTTTCAAATCAATAAAAAAAATCCAGGACTGCGATTAGGACCCACAAACATTAGAAGCTGCACACTAAACTCTTCAGGCCCTTATTTAATAAATTACAGCTTATTGTGATAAATAAATCGACATGTAAATTTACAGCAGGCCATAATATAATGACCAACGGGCTTACGGGCAGGCGCTTATTTCAAACACTGTTCACACCTATTGTTGACATCAGTGTACAGCGAGTTGAGCGTTGCCAAGTATCATGCAATGAGACACAGTTCAACTTAGACGCTAGATACTGTAGATGATATGTTACTAGAACACCGGCATGTCGGGACCGACCATTTGATAATGTCGGGATGGCCTGGGACTTTGTATCGAGCTCAGGTATATTTTTAGCTACAGCTACAAAACCAGATCCTTTTTAACTTCAAGGCATGGGCCTGTTTTTTAAAGAGAATAACACCTTACAGAAATGTAATTTTTGTGGCAAGCAGTTTCCTTTTTTTCAACAGAATGAAACATGATTACTTAATGTACAGGTAGGCGTAGTAGAATACTTTCCAAGTACGTATGTAATTGTCATATACACTACGTATAGTATTCCTTGTGATACAAAACCGCCTCCGTGGTCTAGAGGTAGAGCGTCCGCCCGGAGAGCGGAAGGTCCAGGGTTCTATCCCTGGCCGCGTCATACCAAAAGACGTTAAAAGATGGTATTAAGGGGCTAAAACAAGGACTGGTCAGCTCGGAGTCAGTATACTGTGTCTGAGTGGGGTATTCATGTTAAACTGCGGCATGGTATCTCAGTGTGCTAGCACTATAAATTGGCATCAGTCCGGACTAGTACAAGCAGCCACACACACACATACACGTGCATGCACGTCGCTATGTAAGTGCAATAATCTTGGACGCGACGTTAAACCCCATTTCACCTCACCTCACCTTGTGATACAAGCCATACGGATTGGGCAATATTTGTGCATGTCGTCGTTATATGCTGTGCTATATCTTGGCATACCACAAAACAGTTTTATGCGAAATTTAAAGCAATTTTCCCTTGGAAAAAATATAGGAATCGCGTGACACGAGTAGGTATTATATTTATGCATAAAGATTCCGAAAAAAACCACGAAACTATTTTTTTTAACTATTTATAAATTAACTAAATATGAATGCTATACCTAAATGCAGTTACACACGACATAGGACATCTTCAGAATCCTTGTCATAGGTTATAGGATGTTTAGAACATTAACATATTTTCGAGACCGATTCCTACTCTTCAGATGCACTAAATGCTGATGAGTGAAATGATGTACAGCAACTATTAACTACGCTGAAATGAGTGACCAATGGCCTAGAAATACCACGGCGGGGGGCACCGGCCATAACATATTGTACCCGTGTGGGAAATCGAACAGGCCACAGTGTACTCATGGATCTCATTCTAGTTGGCATTGTATCCTTCTGTCTTGTATCTGTATTTTCTACAGCTACATTTCGCTGACTAATTTCGTGCGTTGGTTTATGCTAACCATTAGGTTTCATCTTCCCGCGGCAAGGGAGTTAACTGACGGTAAAAGTCCAGCTTCCACCTGGAAACTGGACTTTTTACAGTCAGTTAGCTCCATTGTCTCGGGAACATGTTATTTGGTACGGTATCGCTCAAACGCACCCGAATGCAGAAACTAGGTTTTCCCCGAGACTAAGATTAGCTTGACGTCACCCGAGCGATATTCTGTGTATTCGTGCACATATTCCTCAGTTCGACGGGGTTAAAAAGACTACACCAGATCAGGTGTGTTGTTCTTCTACAACCAAAGGTACTGTGAAAAAACATCAAGTTGGACTGGTGAAAATATTTGAAATAGATACCGCGTATGCATACACGACGAACGGTACACACATCTGTGTGTGGCCCTGTTATGAATTTGTATGTAAACTATTTGAATTATAATTGAGTACTTATATTTTTCAAAGCCGTATTTTTACGGTACAAACAACATACAGATGTACTAGGTATTGATTTCAGACTTTGCCGCACAAGTGGCGGAACATGGCGACTGCCAGCGGAGGGTTGCAATGTCCTAGTGCCAACGCTGAATCTATTGAGGACAGAGTTCAGCATGATTACAGAGCCCTCATAATAAAACACGTGCGTTGTGGGTCAATCATTGGACGCATGTGCGTGCCCGAAGGTATGTGGGACGTTAAGTTAAAATTTATGTGGCGTCTTTTCTAAAGGCACGCGTGTAGTGGTCTAGGGGAGGTAACTCCCTTTTCTTCACGTGCGCCGTTCACACTGCACGCTGATCAGGCATGGTGAATGTCACGTTCATATTACCATTCCTGAATAAATATCTTAAAGAACCTACTGAATGATTTGTTAATGCGACGGATTTAACAGTATGCATATTTTGTATTCAGATTTTAGTAGATAATACGTTAATATAAGGGTAACGCTATTTTTCAGGGCATTATCATTCGCAGAAGCCCGAGGTTTTCCATTAAGTGTCTATTTAATGTTCACAAGTAATCTCGACGCAGACCTACATTGTGCCGAAAATGCACCTAGTGGTTGGAAAGTCTGTTCCCTCTGGTTATATATGGTTCTAGATTTGTCAGCACCTTATCTATTCATGGGTTTCATCAAAGTAGTGACCCGTGAAGCTCCGGGTTAGTTTTGGTCTTTAGCAACACAGGCTTGTCGGGTGGTCAGGCTTGCTGACTTGGTTGATGCATGTCATCCATCCCAATTGCGTGGATCGATGCTCATGATGTCAATCACTGGATTGTCTGGTCCAGACTCGATTATTTACTGACCGTCGTCATATAGCTGGAATATTGCATCACTTCGGACTTTCCTCCCACATCAAGCTACTGTCAAAGCGGCGTTGAACCCTCACAGCCACGAAATCACGACCAGCTGCCCTGTGTTCCTGCAGTCAAATCACTGCAGTGTGAGGCTATTGAAGAGACAATGATTTGTTTTTCAAAAGACAATTTATGGTAAATGATACTTTGATATTATTCATTTGGGTTGTTAACTCGAGATTTCATATTTCCCTTGAAAAAAATAATTATCTTTCATATATTGACATTAAAGATATTGTCTGCCACAAAAAAATTCATTATTGCAATGTGTTCTTTAAATCTTTTTTGTTCACATGGTTCATAAGGTAACACAATGGGATAATAAAATACTTACTTCACCGGTCATATGGTGAGGGGTTTCAGTGTTCATGGACAGTATTATGAAACACATAGTACGCTAACAAAATTAGGATCAAGAAAAACATGTACAATGTCATAGATGGAGTATGAAGGCTTATTTTAGGTAACAAACTCATTTTAACGGTAACAGAGAATCATTGTTCTAAATGTGACAATAATTGTATAATGATCTCTGCACACACATCCTGGTTTGGTGGCTTGATTGGGCACCAACCATGTGGCAATTCCGGAACAGAATGGTTAATTACTGATAATTAAACGAAAAGACGGGAATAAGGATTTGGTGGGTTACGATGAGTGACCTGATCGTTTGCTTGGATCTGAACGGCATGGATAACTGATGCTATCAATCGCTGGTCTGCCTGCTCTGTCTCGAGTATCTATGTGTATGTAGCAGGAACATTGCTGACTGCGTTGTCAGACATTACTCACTCACTCACTCACTCACTCATTTTACCTTCAGAGCACCAAGAAACAGTTAATAACATCATGGCTTTGGAAAACTTTCACCAACAGTCCCAAGCAACAAAGGCATTCCTTGACTATTTGAATACAAACGGGGAACCAAGAGACTATAACCTGTTTGCACAGATACTGGAGCTCGATGGTAGGTTCCAACAGATGATACTTTTTACTACCAATGAGCTTGTGGTACATGATGTGTTCTAGCCATCTAGTCGTTCTATTTCAACAGAAATGGTTGACAGGGTAAAACTGATTAGAAAATGTTAAATAAAAGAATCGCATTTGTGGATGACACTTGGACTTGTAAATTGACTGACCCCAACAAATATAACACGAAATCATAAACTTGATTATTGTAATTGTGAATACATAATTACCATCCGCGTATTATCTTAAACCTTTCATAAATATCCTTCATCATATGCTTAAGTTTCAACGACTCAGGCTCAAATAGATGCACCGACCATTTGATATTCGGGGGGGGGGGGGGGGCTGGGATTTTGTATTTAGACCAGATATTTATTCAGCTACAGCTGCAAAACCAGATATTTATTAATTTAAAACTATGAGCCAAAATATGTATTTCTTATCATCGCAATTTTTGTGGCAGACAATTTTTGTTTCTGCAATATGAAGCATAATTATTTTTTCAACAAATGTGGGGGACGTTTTTCTTTTTCGATAAAATCCCAGGCCCTCCCCAGAATATATCAAATTGTCAGCCCCTCAGTGGGTATCTGTAGAGTAAGTGAGTGAGACGGATTTAATGCCACTTTTAACTGTCATTTATATCACGGCGTACTAACTATGTAGGACAAAGACGGGCACGGTGCAGAAGGATCATAATCGGGGACACTTCAGGACTGGAACACACGACGCAGCTGATCACAAATAAGACTGCATGTTTAATATAAATTAAGCCATCTTCACTATAACGAATAGGTAATACTACAGCATGCTTAGCTTCATAAGCTCATACAGATAAATCACTTCTTCGTGTTGGTCAGTGTGAAGTTTCAATGTTCATGTGAATGCTCTGCTTGTATATTATATGCCTTTCACCCAAGGTTATGTCTATGTGTCTAAACTACTGCGTGGGGACGACACCCTTGATCCCAACACACACAAGGAACAGTGCAGACTGATTCGGTTCTTCTGTAGAGACATCAGTGAGACGATCGACGTCAGTGTCCTGTATCCGAGGCTTGTGGAGGACGACTGGATGGGTGGGTGTTGAAATACATTAGGTCGATTGAAGTGTAATACCTATTTTGTAGCGGTCAGCAGTTGCCCAATAGTGTAAGGCGCCGCAATTCGCATTGCAAATGTGTGAGGTATGCCAAGTATTGAGAATGGAGTTCTTTAATCATATGTAATACTACATTGATAGTTCGTGATTCGGGTAAGCGGTACATTCCTTTGCGATATTTCGTAGACACAACGTATGCGCGTGCATGCACGTCACTATTTAAGTGCAATAATCTTGGACGCGACGTTAAACCTAGCCCATGTGATGTGGATAAAATGATAACATTAGTGAAAACAGGGGGAACCTGTGGAAACGTTGAGATATTGTGTGTTTATGATATTGCAAACGGTGTAGGTTGATGGTACATGCGAGCAACATGTGTTTGTGTCAAAGATGTAGCAGTCTGGGATTGTTTATCCAAGAAATTGTCACACTTAAATCACTGAATTTTGGCAAACATTGATATGCACCTCGAATTTATTTCAACTGAATTGTATTGATGTTACCAGTACAGTACAGTTTCGCGCCGTATTGTTTCACTCAATCAGTATGTTTAATGCATTAGTATTGTTATTTTGATACTTTGTGGGGTATCAGGGTCAGAATATAGATGTCCTCAATTAATTTAGGAGATAAACTTACTGTGTTTTGAAATTTGATGTAGTCCCACTGTAGAACAGATACCTCTTTATTATAATTCGGAACCTCGCGCTAAAGCGCTCGGTTCAAAATTATGATAAAGAGGTATCTGTTCTGCAGTGGGACTACATCAAATTTCAAAACACAGTAGGTTTATCTCCATTCTACCATGACGGCAACGACGCTTTGAAAACGGCGCTCTCTTGCAACGCGTTATAACACAGGTGCACAGGCCCACAATCTTAGAACATTCCGAAAAGTGGTCACAGGTAGTTATATATGTAACAATTATTACTAAAGTTCAAAATTAAAAACACCATAGTCGTGAGTAGTTCATAATAAGTGTTCAAAACACATAGTTTCTCAAAAGAAGTTGACAAATAGAATCTATATTCTTTCATGCCATTTATGAATGCTTGATTCTGATTGGTTAAAAAGAGGTTTCCTTTTTGCTACGGAAACCCCTTTCAAATAGATTAAGCCTTTTCACTAAAAAACGTGCACATGAATATATAGAAAGCCTACATATCGATTCATAAAAAGTGGCTGCCGATCGATCAACCCCATATAAACTGTTTAAACGAATGTTTATTTCCTCTAATACACAGCCAGGTCTCTAATACACGCCGAGTCAAGGGCTCTCGCGAAATTGATAAACGGCGTAGCGTCAAATAGAGGAAATATGGTAGTTCGATATCGGATGTTTGTGGCGTTCTAGGCCGCAACCCTAACTGCTTCAATGATGACATTAAAAGATTTAAAGAAGGCATATCTTTTGCATACAAATGAAATGTTTATGACAGTGTTAGAGCATGCGCAATGTTCTATGATGACCAGAATCGGAACAATTTAAGCTACATCCTCATTGAAACAACCGACACTGAAAGTAAAATATAACATTATAAAAATTGTTTGAATTTTTTTTATTCATGACAACATGTTGTTTACAAACCTTTTTGTGGTCGATATTCGTTACTGTCTCCGTCAACCACCACCGTTAGAATTTGGCAGGAGGGGATTTGAAAGTCCATCAGAAAACACTCCCCTTCGAAGGTCCACGAAACAAAATGCCCCAACTGAAGTGACAGCTTATCAAACCTGATGAAATTCATTTCAGAACACGCAAAATTAAGAAAATCATACAATCCACTCTTTCTGGGCCACAAATGTCTAATATAAGTTCTGTCACTGTCTGTCTTTGGATCCGTGGAATGTTGAAATTGACCGGTCATAACATGCAAGTTTGTTGTAGCAATTTATTCGGTTAGCATTTTAAAACCTTTTTCTATAACCCATCACCTCTTCAAAAGAAATGATGGCTTGTTCGATTTCCAAGAAATGACGTCTCTCTCTCTCAAAATTCCGAGAAATGACAGTCTGTCCACAGTGTACAACAGTGAACAACAGTTTGGTAGAAAGTAAAACATCTCTATTTGGACTAAGTTTGGAGTGTTATTTGTCAACTTATTTTGAAAACCTATGTGTTTTGAACACTTATTATGAACTACTCACAACTATGGTGTTTTTAATCTTGAACTTTTGTAATAATTGTTACATATATAACTACCTGTGACCACTTTTCGGAATATTCTAAGATTGCGGACTTGTGTGCCTGTGTTGTAACGCGTTGCAAGAGAGCGCCGTTTTCAAAGCGTTGTTGCCGTCATGGTAGAATGGAGATAAACCTACTGTGTTTTGAAATACCTATTTATTAAAATTTGAGGTATCTACTCTACTGTGGGACTACATCAAATTTCAAAACACAGTAGGTTTATCTCCTAGTTCTTGTCGGCAGGACCCGTGAAGATCCGGGGTAGAATAGATCTTCTGCAACCCATGCTTGCTGTAAAAGTCGACTCTGCTTGTCGTAAGAGGCGACTAACGGTATCGGGTGGTCAGGCTCGCTGACTTGATTTGAAGCATGTCATCAATCCCAATTGCGTGGATCGATGCTCATGATGTCAGTCACTCGATTGTCTGGTCCAGACTCGATTATTTACAGACCGCCGTCATATAGCTGGAATATTGCTGAGTGCGGCGTAAAACAACCAACCAATCAATCTTGTTGGCAGAGTGAACTTAAATAGGAATTGGTAGTCATGCGCTGGCGAGACTGGGTGTGTGGCATGATTATGGTACCCTGACGGCGTGGGACGTTGCTCGTGATATCATCCACTTGTTTGTTTATTTTGATTATGTATAGACCGCCTTCATGAAGCTGAGATAGGGTTTACTGCTGCATTAAAACAAGACAATATTTTTTTACTTCTATTTTAAGACGACGAGGACGGACAACTGCTGCAAAGACTGGCTGACAACAACGGCCGAATCTCCGCTGCTAAATGGCTTATATCAGTTGTACTGCCTCGACGTAAGGAAAACTGGTTCAAACAGTTTCTTCAGCTTTTATGGGATTGTGGCTATAACAGTCTGGTTGAACTGATTGATGAAGATTTCCATGCCATTAACAGTTAGCGACTGCGAGTCTTAATCAAGACATTGTCAGCCCTGCCGTGCATTACGATATGAACTTTACATTGCAGTTGAGCCGATGTCTCATAAGGCGCACGTCTTAAGGCCCCTTTACACAAGGCTGCGACCTTTGTACCACCTTTGAGCGATCAAAAACTGGCTAGGTCGTTCAATGTCGCCTAAACCCAGAAAATCATGTTTCTATGTACCTGCCCAGCAGATGTTCACCAGTAAGTGCTCGAGTCTGCAACCAAAATGAAACACTTCAGGTACACGCCCTCTATTTATAGGCAGGCTGAGGAGGCACTACAGGTAGCTCAAAGGAAGCAGTAAAGAGGTAGAAGCATTGCCATGGTGTCTCAAGGGTTGCCGTGGTCGCCGAATGGAGGCACGGCGGTCGCCAAAGTCATCGTTCAATGCACGATGTTGGTCGCCCAAAGGAAGCACAAGGGAGGCAGAAGCATCGCCCAGATGTACGGGACAGTATTTCAGCAGAACGCATCTGTTACCTGGCGACCATTGGGCGACCACTGCGCCTTCATTCTGCATCAGCGGCAATACTTGTGCCTCCCTGCTGCCTCCTTTAAGCCACCTTTGAACAACCAACCTCCTCGGCAACCTTTGTGCGACTGTTTTGAACATGTTCAAAAGTTGACGGCGACAATGGCGTCCATGGCGATGTCTGAACCTCCTGTGTACTACATTGGAACGACCTAGGCAACCATTCTGCCTCCTTTGAGCCTCCAACGACAACCTGGCAAATTTTATGGTCGCACACGGGAGGCACAAAGGTCGCCATCCTTTGTAATTAAGGCCCCATTAGATCTGCACCACCTCAGGCTTCTTTCCTATATTAAGCCTTATGTAACAGTAATTATTTCTGGGGGATTTTGTGACGAAGAACTTGAAATCATACGCGCATTCTGATTGGTTTGTCATGTATTCTAAAATTACCCATTTTAACTAAGTAAGTATATTTGTCTTTGTATTTGTATTTAGATGCAGGCATCATAGTCCTCTCAGTTTGTGTTGGTGAACGCAGTTCGCGCCCCAGTTTCAACTACAGGGTATGCTTGTAATTTCTAGTGTATTAATGTAATCATTAATTGCATTTATCATATTATTACACATGTAAAGGGATACAATGTATATATAGTTATTGTGAATTATAACACATCCTTCAATGTATTTGTTAAAAGCATGAGTTCTTTCTATTTTTATGATGTCATCAATACGACGCTGTGAATGAAGATAATATTATATGACTGCATGTGAATGTGATGTGCCCTTACATATTTATGTTTATATATATATATAATCTAAAAAGTGATTTGTCATCAACTTCGGCCACCTCACAGTTGTGTGACCGATCATATATATGGCACTATTTGTTACACTTCCCTATGTTCCAGTTTTGGATTATTTATGAAGTTTATACTCATAATATGGTCGTTCAGAGTTTGTTTTGGTTTTGAAAACAAACTATATTTTAACCCGGGTGCAGGACATTTCCCCAAAATGCACTTTTCCCCACATAAAATTTATAAATGATATGATTTATATCACAGTCTGTTTTCTTTACAATTTGACAAACTATAATGATATGAAAATAAAAATTCATCATCACTTGTAAACTTCACTAACGTTTCACCAGCTTGAATCCGTTACAGATTGTCTTTGAGATCGCTACTCGATACTATTTGGTTTTAAGTGTTAAAGAGGACGCCTTCTGCTTTACCACTCTTTGAGGCTCATGTGCGTGAGTAGAGTACACATATTTATTGTGAGTTTGGATATTTTTCTCTTTTTGTCTTCATAAGATTTCTATTTTCGGATATTGATATGATTTCATATGTGATCTTTGGCTGCTCTATTTATATACGTTCGGGTACTGTTCATCTCTCAGAAATAGAGTTAGTTTGGCCTTCGTTCTTGCATCTCTTGGCTTCAGAAGATATATGATAGATAGCGGATCTAATTGCAGTTCTTGTTTTAACCGAGCCCAGGCTGGGGCCTATACTTGACATTCCAGTAACAATTCAGGTTGATTGCAAGATGGACATACCTTGTCATCGTGTTTTTTTGTGACCGAGTCTTGGGCGTGAGATGGCTACTTCAACTTTCCTTTCATTTGAATATGGGTACGGCTTTTGGTGGATCTTGGGTTGAATTTTGTATAGCCATCTGCCGATCTTACTTGCGTCTCTCTGGGCTTGCCGTCTTTCGGGTATGGAGGCTTTGATTTTGCTTTTTTATCTCTAGATAACTGAAGGGAATAGGCTGTATCTCCGCTTGGCTTGTCGAGAGCCAGCTTCCCCAGGGTGTGTCTGCTTTTTCATCTCCGTGAATATCTATGTGAGACGGGATCCAACACGGTTCCACCTGTTGCCCTTGGTCCGATAGTTTTGTATATATTGGTACAGAATATTATTGATTCTCTGTTTGTTTGGTCTCGAGTTTGAGTTTCTGCTGCTGAAGGCTTGAAGTGCTCAGTGGAAGGTCTCACAGCCATAGTCAATTTTTTATCTGGTAAATGATTTGTAGAGTGTCCATCGATGTACCACAAGATGAGCATGACATTGCCCGCAATACGTTCAGGTCTTTATGACATCTGTTTTCCACATATTCTATAAGTTTGCTTCAAGTGAGGGTTGATCTAGGATCGCCCCTAGACATTTTGCGGATTTTTAGACTTTGATTGGTTTGCCAATCACGGGACATCATAGCATATTTTCCTCTGCGTTTGAATAGAACTCACACAGTTTTTTTCACTTGAAAGAGTGAACCCCCATTTATTAAACAACGGCAAAGCGACGTAACTCTACCGGATCAAACTTCCTCTGTTTTCGCTGGTTCCCGGTGGTATCTCGATTGTGTTGGGTAATTCCGAGTCACGCGAGAACCAGCGAACGGAGATTTTTCCATTTATCACTGTCCCACACTGAATCGGCCATGAGCGCCTTGGAGCGTGACCACCCACAGGTGAGGCACACACTAATTAGCGGTTCTACTATATATTGTATATGAACTTCTTCTTAGTGCCCACTCCCTCTTTGTATAGTCTCCCTGAGAATACATGTGTGAGTGAGTAAACATTGCTTTACGCCTCATCACCATTAAAGCCAGGGGCATCTTTATTCAGTTAAGATGCCTTTCCCGGTTTCTAGTCTGTTTGTGTACTAGCGATGACAGTATTGTGTCTGTCATACACAGATTAGGCCAATTCGAAGAGGAACTTCGAGATAACAAGGTTGATATGCTCCGTCTAGAACAAAAGGTACTAAATATTATAGATATCGCAAAGACATCACTGGGAGCTGAGTTAAAGACAATCATGCGAGATCAAGTAAGAGAAGCCATGGCCAAGATTTTTCAAGAAGAGTCGCTCCAAGAGATGGTGAAAAGTCAGGTTGTCTCTGAATTGTAGCATCTGAAACAGGGCTACAGCCAGATGGAGTGGCAGTTGCATCATGTCTCAAGATCACTCAAAGATTTTCAGGATTAGATGGGGCAATTTCTCGACTGTATCCCGAAGGGGACAAAGGTCTGGCATCGCGAGAACTCAGGAGGTGTCTTTGATAGAGATATAAATAAACTGGTAACAGAACTACATCAGTGTGGCGTTTATGCTGCTTATCTCAAAGCTGATAATGAGCGATTCGTGGAGTCACATCAGACGTGTCAGTCCCCAATATCTAAACTGAAATTAGCTCTTGATTCTGCCCCAGCCAAATTACATCCAGCCTCTAATCCTAGGTCACCTGTGTAGACAACGTCATTGACGACATTCAGACCAGAGGAGAAGAAAGGTAGGATTCTGATTGCTCCACTCTGGTCAAGCGCCAAGCATCAGTTCCGTCAACTCAACATTAGCAGCAACTCTGTTAGTGTCTCTCGACATCTCAACATGACGCAGATTGCATCTGTTGCCCGTGTAACAAGGACAAGGAAACTTCTAAATAGGTTTTCAAAACCTCGAAGAATATTTTCATCTACCCTGGATACAAGTCACGGAACAGAGCTAGGGGAAGGTGTATGCACATATGGCATGGCAGTCGATGAAGGAGAGGAAATTGTGTTTATGACAACAGAATTCCCACGATATACACACTGCAAACACGAAAACGTCGTTTTTTTCCGTATATGGTCATTGGACGGAAAAACGACGTTATTTGGACGTTTTCAAACCATCGTTTTTCCGTCCAAATAACGTCGTTATTTGACATCGGAATTTACTGGGAGAGAACGATAGCGTTAAGCTCCTCCCTTTCTTGATTGACATTGTCAATCAAGCAACAGCGTCTACCGGTATTTCTACTTCTCAGATTTCATTGGTCAGTCCCCGCGTGTTAGATTACAGGCCCGCGTTTGACGCTGCACTCGAAGCGCTTAGCGGAAGTACTGAAATCAATCGTTCTGCGCATGCGGATTACTTAATGCCTTGACCCAATTTTCCGTTCTGTGCATGCGCGATTTCGCGTATTGTTTCCTAGATTTAATGTCACCACTATTTGACAATGGTTCATAAACACAGTCACGTGAAGGTTCGGAATCGTAACGAGTAACTCCATTTAAATTGAAGAGGATCCCCAGTGATATGGGAGATTCCAAGATGAAACTATTCTATGGCTATCTAGGCTGCCACCCAAACCGATCTAAACGGGACCCGATAGCTTATTGTATGCTATATAGTCATATGGAAGTGGACACGAACTATACATTGTATTCCGGCCGATTGTTCTTGCATTTACTTATAAGTCAGGAAAATGGACTTAAAAGGGGAGTTGTTGAATGTAATTATTTTAATTATTAAATGTTGCCTATACACTAATCTGGACGAACTTCACATTGTTCTGTTTATGTCATCCTATATACTATTAGTATGTTACCGTTCTAAAGTCAACCTCTCACATAACATTATATTGTTCATAGTATCAAAGTTTAATCAACAATATCAAGAGCAGCAATTTAAACCACTGAAACACCCAAACACAAGGCTGTTATCAAGCGCTAATGCAGACGTGATGCATCGTAAAAACTGTATCGTGATGTCTTCAGAAATACAATTATACTACGAGATAGTACGGCTAACGCTGACTCACCGGTGGAACAAAGACAATATCGCTAATACAGATATAAGGTATTTGAATGTTAATACTAAAGACAAACAATCATTATTTTTGCAGTGACGATATAACACGTATACACGTTTATTGTTAACTTTCATCAGTTTTGCTCTTCATTTTAATAACTTTGTTTTCACATATACATGTTGCAATACCCGACAAGCATGTTATACATAATTATGGGGCAGTTTTCAATCTTGTACTGACTTACTGTGGTGTTAATGAGCGAAGTTTATTGGCTTCTGTGTAAAACCCCGTTTTTCTGGTAATCCTATTATTACTTAGTTTATTTCTATCTAATGACACCCTGTTCTCTGGATCATGGCTCCGTGACTATCCATAACAATTAAGATGAACATTCAGTTCAAGTAAATGAATGAGTTTGTTTTGACGCTACAGTCAGTCATAAAACCAATGCTGTGAGGTTTGATAACACACTTCTTCCAGGTCGAACACCGTGGATCCTCATTTTCTGCCTAAAGAGAATCATAGTTCATATGCTAATCCATCTGCGAATACCCTTCCACTCAAGATGACCTTACTTGTTGCTAAATCTATCATCTATCCCCCCAATCTCACCCCCCCCCCGCACGCACGCACGCACGCACGCACGCACGCAAACACGCACACACACACACACACACACACACACACACACACACACACACACACACACACACAAACAACAGACCTAAATAACCTGGACAGGAAATACTGCTGATAGCCTCTGGTCAACTCAGCCGCGCCACCGCAGAATGTTCGTCCAACTCTGCAGGGGGCATTCTCAGTGGCTTCAAACGCGCTGAAATGTTTTCGCCTTGCATCCAAGATGGTGGACAAGTGAAATCGTATGAAATTTGGCTATTTTAGGTCCTATCTCTTTTTTGATTACCCAATAAAGTCAATTCATAGTTACACGGTTGTGAAGAAGCTTACAACTTTATAAGACTTATTCATCTCATTCCAAAAAAGCTACTCGCGCTCACATAAAGTTGTAGTTATTATGTCACTGTTTTATTTCTTTAGAAATATATTACATGTTCAACAATAACAATTAAGATGAACATTCAATTTCCGATATATGTAAATGAATAAGTGTGTTTTACGCCACAATCAGTCAAAGACCAACGTTGTCCGGTCTGATGACACACAATCTACCAGGTAGCACATTGTGTACACCCATCCCCATTGAAGTCTCCACTGTGGG